TGAATGGTCATGATATTCCCACACCATTCCTTCTCCAGCTGTGTGATGATTGGGGAAATCCGTCTCCAGACGAAAACATAAATGTTGAGATAAAACCTTCTCCTGTGACTCTAACGGTTAGTTTGAAAAGATGTTATTAAACACATCAAGCTATATGCAGTTATGTACATGAACTGAAAATTCATAAATAGAGCGCTCTGCTGTTTTTTATCAGTTGACAACAGAGGTTTTAACTCCCATGGAGACAGAAGGGAAGACCTGCATCAAAGTTAATCGTGTAGAAGGATCAAAGTAAGTCTTATAAACACATCTTAAACCAGATTTGTTAACTAGTTTCAAATGCAGAAAAATCTAAATTTGCATAATTTTCAAATCCTACTGAACTTTATAAATTGTAGACATATTACAACCTCGACAAGTTTATTGAGTTTGTCTCGGTATAAATATTATGGTATTCTAATTGATAAAACTCTTAACATTTAAACTAAATGTTAAACAACTGCAGAAGAAACTGAAATTAGAATTAGGCTTTTATTTTCAAATTCTGACCCCTTTAAGTCAAGAAAAGACTTGATTCTGCTACTTTTATTTCTCTACTGGTTAGTAGTTATGATGTGCACATGCTTGCTTCCTCTTAAAGAGTTTTTAAAAGACTCTGTAGATAAAATTTACTGTTATTATAGGTGTTAACATTTGAAATGGTTCAATAAACAGTTTCTGTACTGCAGTTTCTTCCTGAACCCCTGTTGTAAAGCAGATTTTCAGTCTCAATGTGTCCTTTATGGTTCAGTGAAGGTGAAATTAAATGGAAACTTAGATATTTTGATTTGATGTATTAAATCCAACATGGTCATAACGTAATGTCTGCTACCTAAATATGTCAGTTTATTTCATTAAAGTTTTCCCACACCTTTGAATTTAGATGGGAATAACTGTTGATCACAAGAACAGCTGTTTTTACTCTTTTTGTCCACTAGAGGGTACTATGCACTGGAGTTTAAAGGTTCCCTAAAAGGTAAATCCATCCCTGGTCCATCAGTGAACCTCACTCTCCTCCCTGATCCCAACAAACCTGTTAGACTCTCAGTGGATTATGAGAAAAACGGGAAGTTTTGTGCTGGAGGCAAATTTCCAGGTTCGTATTTCATAGTCTTTGGCAGGCTTTTTTAAATTATTTGTAATCTTTTTAACAGTTCAGGAAATTTAGGTTTGCTGTGTGTGTTTCAGTTTTCTCAGTGACAGTGTTTTCTGAAGAAGGGAAAGCTATTAAACCTGCAGATCTGTCCATGTTGCTGTGGGAGGGAACGCCATCAATGCGTCCTACAATAGTAAACGACTAAATATCATCAAGAGAGTCTGTCTCAGTGTGTCTAATATTACTTTAATGTTGCTCTTCTTTGGCCCTTATGCAGGTCACTGAGCTAAAATACAGAAAACCTGTTGAAGATGAGTGGAAGGACTGTTATGAATTTAGGTGATGTACTTTACCCATAATTTTTGCCTCTGTCTTTGGTGGATGATTAAAGGAACTAGAAAACTAGTTGGTTTTCTTTCTTAATTGCCAGATTTTACAGTTGATATCTCCTATTTACTTACACTAAAGCTGAAACTAGGATAACATTGCAAAACAGGCAGTTTTCAGTATGAAGTGAGCTAAATAGTGAAACTAAAGTGTAAAATAAATATTACAAATCTGTTCTATAATGTGAGAAAATTACATTTGTGTTTTACTACAGAGAAGAAGAAATCCCAACACGTGTTGGGGAATACACTGTAGAGTTTTCTCTACAAACCAACAAAAAAGAAGACCATCTTTGGAGTCAGGTTGGTTTGAACATATTAATCAAGCACTGTTTAAATTCCATCCATCTCCACCCATCCATCCATCCATTCATTCATTCATTCATTCATTCATTCATTCATTTTCTGTACACCCTTGTGCCTAGCAGAGTCGGCAGGGGTGCTAGTGCTAACTCTAGTGAACATTTTGAGTAAGGGCAGGGTACACCCTGGACAGGTCGCCAGTCTGTCGCAGGGCTAGTTTAGAGTCAAAATGCGTAGTTTGTCATCATATGCCTTAATCATTTTTAGTGTGTTCATCCCTGTATTTGAAGGGTTAGTTCAGGTTTTTTTTTAGAAGGCTTTTTGAAAATAAAATAATCCAGTGGTGCTAAATATGGCCTGTTCTTATCCTTTCCAAATCTCAATTTTTTTTTTTAGAATCACAATCGGCTGACCTGAGTTAATAAGGTACAGATACAGAAAATGTTTGGCTCAAGAAAACAACTAGCATAACCATTCTGACTGTTGATATCACTAGTTCCCAGTAATATGACCATTTTCAATTTGAATTGATTTAAATTGCAAAAGTCACTCAGCACATTATATAAACCTGAGTTGATGTTAGCTTCCATGGCCCCAATTAATTTCAGATTTAGCAAGTTCTCAAGGAAATTGACATAGTTCTAATCAGTAATGGCATAGTTACTTTGAAAAATCAACTTTTATTGAGTTACTGATTACTCCTTGAAAAACTTAATAATTTAGTTTGATAATGATTACTTGATTTGGAACATAACTAAGTTAGATAAGTTATTTTATTAGTTACATCAGCAGCTGCCGACAACAACCTTCCACCCACCTCAATATAAAAATTACATTAAGCTTTGCCAATACTTACTTAATTGCAGGTTATTTTATAATGGTAACATCAACAATGTATTTCCACTTATAAAGTGGAACTGAAGCAGAGATTGTGTAATGGTTATGACAGCCAAAAAAAAAACTCTTTAGTGATTTTTGCATGTGTTTGTGTGATCCTACTCAGGTGACACTTACCTTAATATTGATGATTATGATTATCTTAATTATAATGCCATTTAGTTGTGCAACTTTACGGACATGTTCATTTGTGACTGTTTTCACGGTTATTCCACTGTCCATATTAGTCTCAGTGTTTGCAGTTTTCTGGAGCACAATGCGAAGCTTGATGTCTTTCACATCAAATCCTCTTGACATTAACAAAGACACAGCAGGATGGATCATCTGGGAAATGATGGACAGGGAAAGTCTGACTAAAACTACCTGTGTGTCAGTCAAGTTCTGGGACTTAATATGTGTCTGCTTATTTCCAAGTCCAAAGAAGCGACTTCACGTTAAAAAGCAAGCTCAAAACAACGCAACCCGAGACTCATTAAATTTGCAAGCGTCTTTAGAAACAAACAAGCCCAAAGTCACTTGTAATAATTGGAGTTGGTGGCAGAAACTCAAAATGTGCATCTCTCTCCTCCCTACATTGTTTCTGTTTCTGTGTTGCTGTCACAGCTGCTGATAACTGTTGCGTAGAAATGGCAGTAACTCCCCAACACACATAGAGGAAATAAAGTTAAATTACTAAATAAAATGACAAAAATAGTGACATAAAGTGATTTTGGATAAGTAACTTTATTCTGATTACTGGATTTGAAATAGTAACGCGTTAAATTGCTCTCTACTGAAAAAGGCGGTCCGATCAGAGTAACTCAGAGTTACTGACATCACTGGTTCTAATACAGGTGAAGGGACACCAGAAATCTGAAATAACCCTTTAATCCACTGATTGCACAAAGTACACATTAATGCCTCGTCTGATTGGACTAAGTGATTAAATTCTCATATTTTTAAATTTATTTTTAATCACGTTTTAAACTTTAGTTCAAATCCTTGTCTGACCTCTGGATTGTTTTCTTTCTCATAGATCAGTGTAAATGTTGTGGCCAATGAACCCGTCAAACTAGAACCTGACTGTCAACAACAAACTCCAGTTGTTTTCTACTGTACAGAGATGGCCAATCGAATCTTGGTTGAAAACATGACTTTGAAGATAACGGTGAGCTGACGTCCTCTTATGGATTCACAATTCACAACTTTGAATTTCTTTCTCTGTAAAAGCTACACTTGTAATTTTCAACTGATTGTTGTGAGTTTGTTTGATTCTTTCCAGGATCAGTTTGGAAATTTAGCCGGGCAGAACCTGAATGGTACTGTGTCCATCTCAATAAAGTGCCCTGAAGAAGAAAGGAGCAGAATCCTCCCTCTGTTTGATGGAAAAACTAAAACCATTTCAGTTAAGTTAATAGAAGGAAGTGCCCTCATCAATGTAAGTAACATTCCTTCTGCTGGACATATTATTTTTATAAGTTTGTTGTCATTATAAGAAGCTTCATATCTTCTCACCCTTAGAGTTTAGCGATCATGGAGAACAGTCCTGGTGAGAATGGAAGCAGATATATTCTCCACTTCAAGCCAGAAGTGACAAATGCTCCCACATCTCTGAATCTCTTTGAACTGCCCTTCCATTTTTATAACGGTAAATTGTACAAACTGTATTTTATAACAAAGATCTTCTACTTGTGCAAAACTTGTACAGTCCTAACAATTTCCCTTGATATGATATAATAGTTACATAATAGTTACATGTAGTACAGAATTAGCTTACAAAGAATAATAAATCCTGCTCTTATTTCTTTAAAGAAACTATCATTTTAGATTAAAATGTTATACACTTATCTAATCAAGGAAAATGCTTCCATATTTTTTTTGATAAAAAGACATGTCAAATTAGAAGTTCAACATATTTAAGGTTATGACTAATTGTTTCAAAAGCTTTATTATTATTATTATTATTATTATTATTATTATTATTATTATTATTTCTAAAACAGTCAAATAAGATCATTTATATTTAAAGGACTAGATATTCAGGCAATATCTTTTGAAAATAGCGCTTGTTAAGATCACAGAAATGTAAAATATAAAATAAACCCACCACAATTATATCCCTGACCCACTTTGGTGATAACACAGTATCCACTATGAACTTCATCAGATAATCGCAGTTTTAGTTTCTTGAAAAAGAAATTCAGAACAAATACTCATCTGGATTCAAAATGAGACCTGCCTTACTGCACTAAAAGTACAATGAACCATGTCAATGTTCTATTTGTTTACAAAAAAGCTGCTTTTGGTGTATACATTCTTTGTCCTGAAGACTTTTGCCTTCTTGTTGATCTTTTAGATACTGAGAACCAACAAAAAAAAGTTGAACTGATGAAGAAGAAGGATGAACTGACTGAGTCTGTAAAAGAATGTGATAAATTATTTGATAAAATTCGCAATGAAAAGGATTTGCTCAAAAGTAAGACTTCTGTTTGTGATATTTGCAGTTTACTGTTTCTCTGTGTGGGTTACATGCTGAGCTCTGTTGCTTTGCCACAAGGAGGTCCTGGGTTCAAATCCCAGCTTGGGATTGATTCTTGATTTTCTGAACTAAAATGTTGTCAACATTCCTCTCTGCCCCATTTATCACTTATGTTCCCTGTTTCTGTGTAGTTTACAGCTTAATATACTCTTCTCACTCTAGATAACGTCAAAGACTCAACTAAGAAAGAAGTTTCTCTGAGAAATGAGCTGAATGAAAGAGGCATAAGAACAGAACACCCATTATCAGTACGTTTTGGAGAACTTTTACTTTTGTTTTTCTCTTTAAGTTGCTGTCATTTCGTTTTTTCAAGATGGCGTTCATGTATATTCAACTTTTTCAGATCACAGATAGTAAAAGATGCTTAGAGCAGAAGACATCCGAATTGGAAACAATAGAGAAAACTCCAAGAAGAATCTTTTCCATTCATAGAAATTTCAGCGGTCCTGACATTCTTGAAATGGTGATGAGAACTTTCAAAGCCGTATTTCTGTTCTGAGGTCCGTGTTTACAGGCTTTGTCTTGCTGATTGCAGGTTGGTGAACTGGCCTTTGTTGCTGATGATGATATTGCAAGGGTCATCTCCTGGCAATTGCAGGGAGACATGGACTGCATCATCACCACAACGACAGAAGCAGCTCAGAAAC